TTAAAACTTTCTCCCAACTTCGTCTTCTACACGCTCCTCCTGCGTGCTATCTGGTGCACTAGCACAAGACAGGCTGTATGGCACTTTCATTTGACTCAAATTACCCGAATGAGCGGCAGTAGGTAGTAGGCGTTAAAAACTTTCATTGGGATTTTGGGAATCCAAACTCCTCCACATTGTGGACATTAATGCTTTTATAGATAAAATTGCTGCAAAAGCTGTGAAACAAAAATACCTACCTCACTCTCTTATGTTCATTTTCACCGAGGACTACTTCCTTCCGACTATTGCTGTCATTTCATGCTGAAAAGAACAGTTTTAAGAGCAGGGACTACTGCCTCGGCATTTCACGGTGATGCCATTTTTATAGAACAACCTTCATAGTGAATCAAACTACTTTAGAACATCTTGCATGCATTATAATGAACGCTATCTGTGAAAAGCTATTCCTTACATAAACCCCGTCTGATGAAATTTCGAGAAAACTCTTTAGCATAATGAATCTTTTCAATAACATAATTCGGTGGGAATTTATATAAGGGCCGCTCGAAGAAGGGTAGTAACAACAAAACCTACTTCCACATTTTCAGTAGGTTGAAATTGTGCTTATTCAAAAAACTTACTTGATTAAGCTAACCAAATGGGGGTTGTTCTAATATATTAATTGGTCTATAGGCCTCATTTTCTGTCCTTTTTATCCTTCTCGCAACCTTTTCACCACAACTTTTATCTTAATACAACATTTACAAGCGGCTTTAATTTCTTTCATATAGCGCATTTATGACGCCGTAAGCGCGCATTAAATCTTTAACCATGAATTCTGTAAGACACTTGTGCTGGGAGACTTTTAACATTGAGCAGTCCTACGTTACGTCCCTATCCATAATTATTCGTGAGGAGCATAGGAGATATATTCAGTGAAATCACATTCACGTTAACTACTTTCTATATGTAAAAGTCATCCAAAACCTCAAGCATTTATACAACATATGATCTAATTTTTTAGTCGGGCAAGACTTACAAAAGACCTCCGATTCTTCTTCTTCTGCATCATTCTCATTCCCACGCTCGTGCATCAACTCCCCCTTCTTCTCTTCCCCGTACTCTTCCTCCGAAGTATACCACCAAATAAATTTTTGCGTCACAAAATGCACAATACTGTCCATCCAATTCACGTTTATTGCGACGAACTGTGCTAATTAAGG